ATCACTTTTTGTAACTTTCTTTTTTGACAAGATTACTTTTCTTTTAAGTTTTAACCGAAAAATGTCAATAAGTTTTTAATTCTGAACCGTATAAGTAAAAATATTTTTTTATACTTCGTAAGTTAAGTTTAAAAAATATTTTCAAAGTTTCTTGGTAAATCCTTTTCACTTTGGCTTACAACATCAAATTTCTGTTTTTGTTTGTCTGTTTGTTGGAAAATTATACGAGGGTAGGACTAGTTTTCAAAGTCCTTGGTTTAAACTTAGAAAGTCATGTATACATATAGTTGGTGGCTTATCGGTAACTGCGATTTCCGCATAGATACAAGCGATTTCATGTAAATCTGTCAAGAACGGTTGGGAAAACCGCACAGCATCAGCATTTATAATGCACGACGTCGTTCACACTAATGTATCTTCAGTTTATCCCCTTTAACCTTCCCCCCCTCTCTCTCTCTCTCTCTCTCCTTGTACAATACATTGCGAAATTGGGTAAAATATGGCGACGATCGATTTCACACTAAATTATTAAGCATCCTTCAATTTCTCGATGACGACCGATTCCTCAGGGAAATTTTTTTCCAGGGAGAACTTTTTTTCGGAAATTTATCGATGAGACAGTATTTGGAATTTAGAGTGTTGCTGACAAAGATTTGTTTACTCACAAATTTTTTTGAAAATATAAGAATATTTTTGTCGAACATTTTTTTTAGATCTGAATTATTATTGATAAAATCTTTTAAAAATTTTTGTATTGATTTGATACAATTCGGTACCAATTTGGAACCATTTTGTATCAATTTATCATCAATTTGGTTCCATTTGATACAATTTGGCAGCAATTGTGGTAAAAATTTGCTACCAATTGTAGTATCAATTTCGAATCAATTGGTAAACATTTATTATAATTTTGGTACAATTTGATACCAATTTATCATCAATTTGGTACAATTTGGTACCATTTGATACAATTTGGTACAATTTGGTACAATTTGATACAATTTGGTACAATTTGGTACTATTTGATACAATTTGGTAGAATTTTGCACCATTTGATACAATTTTCTACAATTTGCTACCATTTGATAACACTTGATACAATTTGGTACCATTTGATACAATTTGGTACCAATTTATCATCAATTTGATAACACTTGATACAATTTGGTATAAAATTATCATCAATTTGGTACCAATTTATCATCTTTGTCATTCACTTCAAAATTTTTTTTACTAAATTAATGTCAGAGTGAATATACTTTTTACTACTTACAATTTAATTTTTTTAATTTGGCAAACAGTCGAACTAAAATTAAATGATACTATTTACAGTCAAACTTTGTGTTTTTCAACATTTTGTCTGACTAAATATTTTTTTACTACTTGTAAGAATAATACTTGCAGTAACTAAAGAAACGTCCGACTAAAATTGACTTGTACTAATAACATTCAAATTACTCAACAATTTGTCTGACTGAAAATTCTTTTTACTACTTGCTCGATAATTGTAAATTTTGAGAAGTAAAATAATGTCTGACTGAAACCCCTTTTACTACTTATTCTATACTTTAAAACCCTGAAATTCTACTAACAATTAAATTAAAGTGGAACTAAAATTTACTTATACTACTTGTATCCAAATTTCAATTTTTTGGACAGAAAAATCTGCCAATTAAGAATTTTTTTTACTACTTTGTGACAACATTTTCTTCTTAAACAATCTGTCTGACTTAAAACAGTCTTTACTACTTCTAAGACACTTTTAAATTTTTTTTACTAAATTGATGTCAGAATAAATAAATAATTTTTACTACATACAATGTAATTTTAGTAATTAAGGAAACAGTTTACAAAAAAATTAAATGATACTACTTACAAAAAAATTTTGAATTTTTAAAAACATTTGTCTGACTAAATACGTTTCTTACTATACTTGTACGATAACTGCAATAACTAAATAAACGTCTGACTAAAATTGACTTGTTCTACTTATATTTAAATTATTAAGCAATTTTATGAACTGAAAATTCTTTTTACTACTTGTTCATCAGTAATTTCAAATTTTAAAAACTAAAATAATGTCTGACTAAAACTCTTTTTTACTACTTAAACTATATTTTAACGCCTTTCAATAATGTGGAAATAAAATTGGCTTTTACTACTTATATCCAAATTTCAACTTTTTGACCAAAAAAATATGTCAATCTCTGTTTTTTTTACTACTTGTACCAATTTTTTTACTTCAAACAAATCTGTCTGACTCAAACTACTTTTTACTACTTCTACTTCCCTTGAAAATTTTTTTTACTAAATTGATGTCAAACTAAATATAGTTTTTACTACTTCAAATCTTATTTTTTCTACTATTAGGCAAACTGTCTGACTAAAAATAAATTATAATACTTACAGACAAATTTAGAATTTTTTACATTTTGTCTGACTTAAACTACTTTTTACTACTTCTAATTCACTTTAAAATTTTTTTTTACTAAATTGAAGTCAGAATGAATATATAATTATTGCTACATACAATTTAATTTTTGTAATTAAGCAAACAGTTTGACTAAAATTAAATTATACTACTTACAGACAAATTTAGAATTTTTACATTTTGTCTGACTTTAAACTAGTTTTTACTACTTCTAATTCACTTTAAAATTTTTTTTACTAAATTGAAGTCAGAATGAATATATAATTATTGCTACATACAATTTAATTTTTGTAATTAAGCAAACAGTTTGACTAAAATTAAATTATACTACTTACAGTCAAATTTGGAGTTTTTCTACATTTCGTCTGACGAAATATTTTTCTTACTACTTGTAAGAATAATACTTGTAATAACTAAATAAATGTCCGACTAAAATTGACTTATACTACTTATATTAAAATTATTAAGCTATTTGTGGGACTGAAAATTCTTTTTCCTACTTGCTGCGTAATTTATGTTACTTATTAAGTTATATCCAAATTTTAATTTTTTGTCCAAAAAAATCTATGAATCTGTATGTTATTTTTACTACTTGTATTAATTTTTAAATTTCAAACAAATCTGTCTGACATAGTGTTTACTACTTCTACTTCACTTTAAAAATATTTTTAACTAAATTAATGTCAGACTGAATATAGTTTTTACTACTTATAATCTATTTTTTTCAATTATTAGTCAAACTGTCTGACTAATTGTAAATTCTACTACTTACAGACAAATTTCGATTTTTGATATTTTTTCTGACTGAAACTTGTTTTTACTACTGATTTTTATAACTTAATAAACGTCCAATTGAAATTGACTTATACTACTTACAGCTAAACCTCCATTTCCCGTCAATCTGTCTGACTAACTATTGATTTTTACTACTTGCACTTAAAATGAAATTATTGATCTTTGTGTAAAATTAAAAAAAAATTTTCCTTACAGAAAAAACGGACTTTAAACAGTCTAACACTACTGTGCACTGTAAGGTAATAAATTTGTAATTGAATTTATGTCTCACTAAAAGTGATCCTTACTACTTGTCCTCAAATATTCAATAATTAGACAATCTGTCTGACCTAAATTGCTTTAACTACTTACATAAATAAATCAAATATATAAAATATAAAATATAAATTTTGTCTGTCATTTTACTAATACAACATTCCTTTACTACTTCCATCAATCGATTTGGCACCAATTTGGCAACAATTTGGTACTAATTGTGGTATCAAATTGGAACCATTTGGTAACAACTTGTCATCATTTTGGTACAATTTAATACAATTTGGTACTAATATCATTTTTGGTATTACTTTGGTAGCAATTTGGAACCATTTGGTACCAATTTATCATCAATTTGGTTCCATTTAATACAACTCGGTACCAATTGTGGTACCAATTGTGGTATCGACTTGGGATCAATTTGACATCAATTTGGTACTAATTGTGGTATTAATTTGGAACCATTTGGTAACAATTTCACATTATTTAGGTACAATTTGGTACCAATTTAGAACCATTGATTTGGAAACAAAATTGATGATAGATTTATCATCAATTTTACCAATTGTGGTATCGACTTGGGATCAATTTGACATCAATTTGGTACTAATTGTTGTATCAATTTTGAACCATTTAGTAACAATTTCTCATTATTTAGGTACAATTTGGTACCAATTTGGAACCATTGATTTGGAACCAAAATTGATGATAAATTTATCATCAATTTGATACAATTTGGTACCAATTTAGCATAATTTGGTACAATTTGCTACAATTTAGCATAATTTGGTACAATTTGGTAAAATTTAGAATAATTTGGTAAAATTTGTCTCCTTCAAGAAAACATAGCACATGAAAAAAAAAATGAACGAAAAATAAACGAAACAAAGAAAATAAAAAATTGTGTGAAATAGAAGAAAAATTGATTCGCCTCACAAGTGAGATGAAAAGTTGACTTTGAGAAATTAGCAATTAAAAGCATTTCTCACTTTTCCTGTGTATCTTTCCTCTCATTTTTCGCTCAACTTAATGACAAATACTCCATGATAATAAACCCTTCTGCTGCCGATAATGACTTCTAATCCTCCAGCAAACTCGTCAAAGTACATTTAGCATTGCAGAGAGCAAACTCCAGCTCATCCAATATTCGACGGTCGATCTCGACCTGAAAACTCTATCCATCACCTTCCGCCTTCGCTATATAAGCCACGGTCTCTTACAAAGCATCGCAAGAAACTCGCAGTTACTTTTATAAAAAAAAAAAGAAAAAAAAATTCCACCTCAATGAAAAATACAAATTTTTGTTTCTGGGAGAAATTGAGAAAAGATCGAAAATTAGAAAAAAAGGTACAAGAAAGAAAAAAGATAAAAAAAAAATGTTGATCCTATTCTCAAAAGAAGAGAACATGCAGTGAGAGAACCGACTTTCTTGATATTGACGCTTGCGCCTCAACTTTCTCGCCCTCTTTCCTCCACCATCCACAATCCAAACCGTCACTTCCAGTTGGGGTCAGTTCAGTTTGCGCTCGACCGAGGTCCTTCATGTTTCTTTCGTTCTCTTTTTATTCTCTCAAGTTTCGATCTTGGTGCCGGCTATGAGACCTTCGCGAAAAAAATCTTTCCCAGTGAGTGACTCGTGAGGCGGGACCTTCTTTTTTTTTCTTCTTTTTTTTTATTACTAAAGAGGGTAACCCCGTCACAGTTAGTGTTCATAAAAAAAAAAGAAAAATATTTATATAAATAAGAAAATAGAGGAGAGCCGAAATATTTTTTCCATCAAATTCAACAGAATGGAAGAACAACTTGGCCATTATTGAAATGTGAAAAACAAAAAAGAAATTATTCCTGAGAGATGAGAGAAGAAGTAAGGGTGGGTGTGATGTGACATAAAATTAGAGAAAAAAAAAAGTTTTTTTTCGTTAGTGTGTTTCGAATTAAGTTATAATTTACACGTTTAATTCACTATCTTTATTTTCTAGACATTTTTTCTACCATTAAATTATTATTACGTACTTTAACTCCAAAATTTTTACTCTCTAAAATTAACTTTCGATAACCTACTTTTATCTTATTAAAATACTCTGCTATTAAATATTTTACGAATATTTATAAAAAAAAGGTTTTTTTAACTTTATCTACAATCGAAAAAATTCCAAATTAACAAAATCACAAAAATAGAAATAGAAAATTTTTTTATAGAAAATTTTCCCTTACGCAAAAAAAATAATCCCAAATTATGAATATTTAATAATTTCAGGCATTTCCGAAATATTTAATTTCAAAGAATGACATTAAATACATTAACGATTTATATTTGGAATTTAAATTAAAAATCCAACGAAATTACCACAAATGTAGGTAATTACTCCTCGCGCGTAGAAAAATGTGACAAAAAACGAAATAATCCTGAAATAAAAAGAATTCAATAATTTGAAGCAATTTCGAAATATTACATATAGAATGAGAAAATTTTATCAAAAGAGAATGGAAAATATTTTCTATCGAGAATGTGAAAATTCACTACATGGAATGTTAGAATAGGATAATAAAAAAAAAGCCGAAAAGAATTTCTTTTCAAGAAGGGAAAAAATTTAGAAAAATGAGAAAAAATTCAATACTAGAAGAATCATTAATAAAAAAGCAGAATGAAAAATGATTTTTGACAATGTGGGGAAACTAAGAGGAAATGAGAAAAAAATTTTTATTTAAACTTTCTATGAACAATAATTAAGTGATTTAATTTTTACACTTTCTAAAGAATCAGTAAAAAAAAATTTAGTAATTTAAATTTGGTAACTGAATTTTTGCTTCTGAATTAGTAAAATTTACTAATAAATAGTAATTTCCATTAATTTAATAGTAAAATTAGAATTGGTCTTATTATTATTATAATTTATAATTATATTCTTATAATTATAATTATAATTATTAATATTTCTCAATTTTTTATATTTCATAATAAATATTTTTCATAATTTTTTTTCTTATTTAAGAAATAATTATCATTATTCAAGAATTATGAATTATTTTTTATTTACTTTTTTTCTAATATAAATAATTTTTTGTTATTTTACAATAAAAATTCTTTATTTATAAAATAGAAATTATTTCGGGAATAATTTTAATAACAACGGGAGATTTTTTTTCCAATGCTGAAAGAAAGATGATGATAAAAGTAAAAATAGATTTTTGCGTGAAAAAATTGACCTACTGTGAAATTTCACTCGACTGTTTCATTAATGGAAGAATTCATTCGATTTGTTTATTTCCACTCTTGAATAATTTTACAAACAAAATAAGCCTTTAATAATTATTTTTATTTACATTCTTTTCACCGATTTCATTATTATTTTGTTGAAAATGAAGGAAAAATAAAATTAAAATTAAAAAAAAATTAAACTAATTACATTAATATTTAATTAGTTGAAGTAGTTCCATTTTTATTTTACAACTCTATAAATGGCTTTTTAGCTCGTATATATCCATTGAATAATAATTAAAGAAATAAAGAACAATTTAATTAATATTAATTTAATATTTACTTAATATTTAATTAACAATTTAATTAATATTTAATATTTCATTAGGTAATAATTCAATTAATATTTGATTAACAATTTGATTGGTGTTTAATAAATAATTTAATGATATAAAAATACTACAAAAAGTTTTTTTCTGAAAATATATTTACGTAAAAAATGCAAAAAAAAAAATGTTAATAAAAAAATAAACGAAAATTTTTTTTTTAATTAAAAAAGTATTTTCAAATAAGTTTTTATTTTCGAGTGAAATAAATAGATCTGTGAATTGTAACAGATTGTGTAATACAAATGAAGGGCTTCCTTTTAAAAGCACTTTTAAATTACCATTTTCACCAGTTCAGTTCCTTGTCTTTTTTTCATTCGAGAATCTGGGTTCATTTCAAGTTGGTTGACCTAACTGCTCAAGATAATTTATCCTGCTGTTTCATATTCCTGTGAATTTCTTTTTTTTTCAACTGTCCACCATTCAAATTTGAATTATTCATCCCTTTTTTGCTAAAAAGATAAAAAAAAAATTTTTTTAATTAAAATACATCATTTTTTTTTTAATAGCAATCGTAAAAATTCCGGAAATTGTAAATATTTATTCGATATATCATAAAGTAATTTTTAATTTTTGAAGTGTAAAAAATTTTTATGGTTAAAGAATTGTTTTCCAGGTGAAAATTTTTTTTACGTATAAAAAATATTTTTATACATAACAATTTTTTTACAAGTAAAAAATAGATTTTTACAAGTAAAAAAAAATTTGTGACAAGGAACAAATAATTGTTTACACATACAAATTTTTTTTTAATCTAAATAAATTTTTTTGAATTAGTAACAATTTTTACAAATTTGAATTAATTATTGACTTTTTGCTTTTAAATTAGTAAATTTTAGTAAGAAATACTAATTTCTACGAATTTATCAGTCAATTTTACTAATTTAAAAGCAAAAAGTCATGCACAAATTCGAATTATTAAACATTTTTCCTCGAATTTAAATCTTAATTAGTAAGAAAAATGGTTTTCACATAAACAAAATTTTTTAATTATAAATTTAATTAAATTAAAAATACTTTTCTGCAATTAAACTGTAATTTGTCAGAAGTAACAAGAAATTTTCTACACATTAAAATATTATTTATACACAACAAAATGTTAACAAGTAAAAAATTGTTTTTTACAAGAAAAAAATTTTTTTTTAGAAAATTGTTTTCAAAAAAAAATTTTTTGACAGTTAAGGGCATTTGAACCTTGATGACGTTACAGATTGTGCAAAGCATGTGTGACGTCATCAAGGTTCAAATGCCCTTAAAAAGAAAATTTTTTAAATAAATAAAAAAATAATAAATACATTTTGTTTGTTAAAAAAAAAATTACTTTTCATCTGTAAACAATTTTTCTGACTGTAAAAAACATTTTTTAATTGTAAACAATTTTTTTATTACTAGCAACAAATTATTTTTACCCACAAAAAGATGTTTCTCTTTTTTATTTGTAAAAAATTTTGTTCAATCTATAAAAAAAATTTCTTTTATGAAAAATTTTTCCAATAAAAAAATTTCTTTGTCTAAAAAACATGTTTTCAATTATTAAAAAAATTTCTTTGTTTGTAGAAAAAAATTTTCAATCAGTAAAAAAATTTATTTGTCTATAGGAAATTTTTTTTAATACATAAAAATAAAGTCTTTTAATTCTAGACACTTTCATTGTTATATATATATTTTATATATATGTATATGACTTTTACACTTGGTTGTTAAATTTTTAAATTAAATTCCTTCTTGTGAAAATCCAGTTCCACATTTCAAATTTTAAGCTCTGTAGTTCATAATTTAAGCTCTGCATCCTACAATGTAAGCCACGTATAGTCTGCGATCTGGAAACTCCGTTCTGTAATTTAATTTTCTCTTCTTATAATAATTTCAAATTTTTTTTTTAGCTAAATCCTTTTCAAAACTAAAAATTTTTTTTTTAAATGAATCAATAATATATATTTTTTTAATTAAATTTAATCGATAACATAAACATTATTTTCTGAAAAAATCAATGATACACTTGTAGTGGAATTAGTTTAAACAGAGAGCAGAATTTATTAGCTTGAATAAAATCCGAAAAGGAACAATTAACAATAACAATTTGTCAATACAATTCGTTTCTCTAAATTGACACTTTCACACCTAATAACACATTTGATAAATAGGAGCTATTTGCGTATCGTAATTACTATAATAGCCTAATATAAATGTTTAATTTCATCACCGAAAAGTTAGAGTTAAATAATGTGTATATTATTTCACGTGCAATCAATAAATGTTTTATGTTTATATTCTTGTTTCTTGCTTGCTTCATTGTTTTGTTTTTCTTCGTTTTAAATTATAATAAGTAAAGAGTAAAGATTTTTTTTTATGTATTAGTATAGTTGTATATGTATAGTTGTTTTCTTTTTTTAATTAATATTTCTTAGTTTATTTGTTATTTCTTTTTTATTTGTTCTTTCTTTAGTATTTTTTTTATTTTTTTTTATTTATTATTTCTCTTTTTATTTATTATTTCATTTTTTTTGCTTATTATTTATTTTTTCATTTATTATTTTTTTTATATTTGTTACTTCTTTTTTTATTTTTTAACTTATTATTTCTTTTTTAATTATTATTTCGTTTTTTATTATTATTTCTTTTTTTATCTGTTGCTTCTTTTCTTAGTTCTTTTTTATTTAGTTATTATTTCTTCTTTTGTTCATTATTACTTCTTTATTTATTATTTATTTTTTATTTGTTCCTTCTTTTCTTATTTCTTTTTTCATTTCTGTTTTCTTTTTTTATTTGTTGCTTCTTTTCTTATTTCTTTTTTCATTTCTGTTTTCTTTTTTTATTTGTTGCTTCTTTTCTTATTTCTTCTTTATTTATTATTTCATTTCTTTGTTTATTATTTCTTTTTTGATTTATTTTTTCTTTTTTTATTTGTTTCTTCTTTTCTTATTTCTTTTTTGATTTATTATTTCTTTTTTATTAACTTATTTTCTTATTTCTTCTTCATTTAGTTGTTATTTCTTCTTTTGTTTATTATTCCATCTTTTTTATTCTTCTTTCTTTCTTTATTATTTCTTTTTTTTATTTGTTACTTCTTTTTTTATTTCTTTTTTTGTTTATTATTTCCGTTTGTTACTTTTTTTTCTTACTTTCTCCGCTTTTATAAATATTCACAAATTTCCCATCTACCCTTTCGGTTGAGGTTGCTTTTTTCTTCTTCAACTGGTTCCCTTTCTTACGTTTCATTACTTTTCTAAACTATAGTTTTATTTTTAACTCCCGGGTATATTAGTTTATTACACTTTAGTTCAT